CAAGTCATATCAATAGCTGCAGTACCATGTGATCTTGATTATTAAGATGTACATGATTATACCTTTCGACTTTCTTTATTTAATGAAAATCATATGGTTTTGAATGTCATGTTTCCCAACTGATACTATTCAAACAATCAACAAACTTCGTTTCTATTTAAAATGTAAACCTGATTACTAAGTGCCCAACTAATCAGGTATTTTGAAGTAATCATAATCTTGAAGAAGACTTACAAAGCTGATTCTAATAAATAATTCAAATGTCATAGAGAAACTGAGACCAGGGAACACAAAGAACACAAATACAATTCAAATCCAACTCATGACTGTAAAGAGAATCATTTAAAATATATATCCAATTCAAACTTTGGAAGTCACATCAATGGCATCCTTCAAGTCACAGTTTGATGAGCTTCTTAAATCAATATACTTTCAGCCCAAATAAGCTACAAGGGTTGGATGGCCTCCCCTTGTTATTAACCTTTCTGTTGTATTCCTGTAGGACTGTCTGGGCCATGAACATGGGGAATGCAATTATTGATTGGCTTACCAATCAATCGATTAGCTGTCTAGGGCAGACAGCAGGTAAAGAAGGCCAGAGAGGAAAAGGCTTTTAAGTTTATTATTGACAGCACAGGAGTTGTTACAAGCCGTTCAATGTTGATAAAAGCACTTGCTTTTGAATTAAGTACAAGAGGAGCAGAGAGCAGCAAACTTTCCCTGGATCTGATGTGCAAGACACAGAGAAAGAAAAATGATGTTTCTACTATAGTACTGTTGTTTCCCAATGGAACTTGGATTCTATCTTGCTCCATCTGTGTCGTCCAAGTATCACTTCTGCTCTGTATACAGTTCTCATGATTAAGCTGGTTTTGCAGGTCGAGAAACTTTAAGCAGTGTATTTTCATACAAAAATGTAAACAACTGGAATTTCAAGAGTTTTTTTTTCACATGGGTATTTTAGTATCACTATCTGATACCAATACCATCATTGTTTTCATAACTGCTCAGGCTGTGCTTGACTGAAAGAACTTACTTGAAACTAGCATAAGTGTTTTGGCTCTAGGGCCTTCTGTTGCTCTGCTCTCTCTTTTAAAATTAGCTTTGTTAATTTGCTAGATCACATACTGTATAAAATGCCCTGTGGTGTCAATGCTCTATGGTGCATGCACAGTACTGTTACTGAATGATGCTGACGTTTTTTTGTATTAGTCCCATCCATACTGTATACTAGTCTATCTTCTGAAGCAGTAATGCACAGCTGGAATCATTCTGTATTGATCTGGTGTCTGTGCTTCATTTACAGTATGTATTTAATAAAAACAATCTACCGTTTGCTTTAATCTGAACATGTGAAAAATCTCGTAGTACATTAGCAGCATTGCAACCTGTTGGTAATATGATAATAATTAGAGCAGTACAAACAACAACTTTTAAAAGTGGCACACCAAATCTCCTGAAAGCAATCCAGATAAGAAAGAAAATAACTTATTTTGAAAACAGAAGCCTTTGGCCTTCTTAGGAGAGTAATATAACCCAAGAAATCAAATCAAATCTGATGTCCAAACCTCAGAGGATAAATTGCATGAAACCTATTTGTTTTCTCTTATTTACTAATTCAGTGAAGAACACCAGCCCAGTATGCAAACAGACTAACCCATTTTATCACACCAACACATAGCGAGGGCAACAACACAGCACTAAGAGTGATGTCATTTCTTAAAGTACAATCACATCACATTATCACATATTCAGTTCTCCTGTGGATTCCTGGTTTAGTAGGAAGCAGCCCTGGTTGATCGCATTGAATTTCATATCATGCAAGTACCATAAGGTAAAAATAAACACTATCACAGTGCAAGTGCCATGCAAATAAAATGCAAGAAAACTGTATATGGTAAAAGAGTATGCAGAAAGTGTTGATACAGGGCAGTAATGGAGACACACTTTTGGTACATATTCCATGTTTGCAGGGGAAAAGGGCACTTGGCAAGTTATATTGCAGTTGTGAGCTTTGCAAACAGTGGAAGCAATAGAGAGTAAGACATTAAATGTAGCTAAGAGAACACAGTTGCCAAATGTGTCTTGAAGAAGCACTAAAGATTGGTCAGAGACTGAGTTGTTCTGGTTTCAATGGGACCCGGCTATGTTAATGTTTTTAATTAAGCATCACAATGTCAAATTTAGAGACAACAGAGAAGACTGAATAATAAGCAGTGTAAAGACTAAAGCTGAAAATATTCTATGCAGAGAAGATGACAGCCCTGTGCTTGTTTTTTTTTACTTTTTGTATCTACTGTGGTCTCCCTGTCAAAGTCATAACATAGTTTTCAATGCACTCAGTATGTGTTGCTGTAGCTTCCTTGACCCCTAATGCTGCCTTTCATATTAGCATCTGAACTCTTGCTGTGTTCCGGTGATTCAACACTAGGGGAAAATTTCATGACTCTGATTATGAAAAATGTTGTCAATTTGCTGAAACTCCCTTTTTGAAATTTTGAAAAACATGATATTCCCTTTCAAGCCTTCTGAGGTTAGAAATACATTTGATAAGTCAAATTCAGCTCTGGTCTGACTGCCACATTCCAGGAGCGCATTCCTAGATAAGAGAAAGCTGGCCATCATGTGGAGAAGCACTGGGGGTCACTAATCCTGCTTGGTTTGTTATTGCAGGGACTGGGGCTCTGTTTTCTGTCAAGTGACACTGTGCACACACGCGCACAAAAGCAATAGACAAGGATGTTTCCTTTATTATCGTCACACTGGCAGATCTCATACAGACCAGAGTATCACATCATTGTTGTTTGAAAATTCCAGGCCAGACAGACTGAAACATAATGGTGCATTATCACTTCCACCAAGCTAGGTCATGTTTTCACTCTACACAGGAACCTGCTACCCAAGGTGGCGAGCAGCGAGGTCAAATCCATTTGGATGGAGCTATAGACCGAGGCTGATAACAATAACAGGAACTCTCCACTGCTGAGAGGCTGTCTTCTGGAAGTGCCTCTCTACATTTAATGAGTTATGACCGCACAGTCCCCTTTGTGTTTGGATAACTTTGATTATTTGAATTATAATAAGAAAGAAAAATATGACTCTGTGTGCAGAGTACTAGACACAGGGAGGGTCTGATGCCAGAACCTGATGTCCTGTAAAACACGGAGCCTTGTTAGTACAAGTTAAAGTTGGAATTGTCACGTTTTAGTAGGGAATGCTGGTTTTCAGCAGTGCCGTCGGATTTGCCTTCAAAACATGTAAACTGATTTCCCTGATGCTTGTTTTCCAATGTGATTGAAGAAAATTTAGTTAAAAATGAAGTGGAATTTAAGGGTCCTGGATCAGGAAAAGCAGACTGAATGGTACCCAAAATGCCAGGGTTGTGAAATGGGTTGTTGTCTGACCATATGATTCTGGAAATCTTTTCAAAAAAGAGAACTTCCTCCCCCCATTGAAATGTATGCACCAACAAAGGCAGTATTAAACCTTTGTTTACTTGGTATGTTATTATTATTTTATGTAGTGCCTTTAAAACTATCTTTTCTATGTGTTTTAAAGGAAAATTATCTATTGAATATAATTAATCAGTTCTTGAAAGATAACACTTTATGAGTGCAATTATTACTTTTTGTTTTTGCCACTGCCCATTTTTAAAAATGTATTTTCAGTTATTTCAGATACACTGCCTTAATTGTGCAGTAATTTATATCTAGATTCATCTTACTCAGAAACATAGTACTATTCAGTGGTTCACTGGCCTTGTTCCACCTTTTGGATGGAATCCGAATTGCTACCGTTGATAAAAGCAGTTTCTATGAATTTAATCAATGTGGTGCCACAACTTCTCAATTAACATATATTGTTCTCTTTGGGGTAAAGAATTAGAATCACCATTTTTTTATTGTTACCCAACAACCCACCCTTAATTATGTATTGATTTATTAATGATCTAATCAGCTCATGTCATAAGGGAAGCATTGGCAAGGGGCATTCATGCTCTGAATAGTTTCCTGTCATCATCCTCATCTTTTTCACACTGCAAGGACCTTGTCACCTTGGTCTGAGCCATGAGCCATGGTCCCAGAGGGCACAGGAAGCCATTGTAAACTGTGGTATATACAGTACAGTAGCTGACTAGCCCAACCCATCCAAGTTAGAGTTCAGTAACTCCTGTCCACTAACCAATCCATGCCAGACACGATCTCACATTCCTCCAGCTTTCAATTCATGAACCTTCAGTGCAAAACCTTATGTTTCCTAGAAGTTATTCCTTTCTAGATATCTGTCTGTATACAAAGATTTTTTTTAAAGTTACAAATGCAAGGAAATCCTCATTTGCACCATTTGGTTGGAGGTAGCTTACTGATCCAAGAATCCCTTCCTGTTTCTTCTTGAAGGAGGCCAAAAAAACAGCTTTGAAAATGTGGTACTGTAGGTTGTGTTCTGGACACCAAAAAGAATTTGTCCTGTTTTCACATCAGGTTTGGGATTTACAGTATGGTGGGCTCTGAGAGGTAGAACAAAAACAGGAATATGTAGGAATTTGTATATTTTAAAAACAATAATTCCACAAGAGTCTTTGACTCAGTTCAGTCCTTGAATATTGCCTATATATAACACTATAAATACAAAAAAAAGCGATGTCTAAATTCTTTATTAAATTATGTCCTTTGCAAAGACAACTTACATTTACTGGGGTCTTCCTATCAAAGTATACAGAAAATTAGATATCTCTGAAATTAACATAGATAAAAATACTAGTGACGTCTCACATACCAAGATACCTTTCTAAATGATTTTGAGGAGACCAGTCTGCGAGGCTTGTTGGGAAGCAAAAAATAATAATAAAGTAGGAGTTCAGAGTGAGTCATCCTTGCCACTGTAGATATAAATATCTATAGGCGAACATCTTGCTATTTATAGACCCTTTGAATTACATAACACAAATTGGAAAGGCATGTCCTTTTAATATTAATCAGATATTGTTTTTTTATGTTATTCTTAAATAGTTGCTGTAGCACATCCATTAATACAATACCTTTTTTGCAATTCTCCTTTGACTGTTACTTTCATGACATGAAAGGATAGATAAGCTGTGAATGAGTTGCTAAGATGTTCAGTACTCTCACATTACTGGCACATTAAAATATCATCGATCCAGACCTGCAGGAGACATGAATCTTTGAAACTTTCTGATCACATAGAAGACTATTGATCCAGTATCTATCTGCATAACCTGGTGTTTCAATTGTCTCTTGTAATCACAAACTCATTTTAGTCCCAGTCACATTTAATGTATATAATGCACACATTTAGTGATATCCAATGTCACAGACAGCATCTGACAACTATAGACTGGATATTTTATTTCACATTGTGCTTAACAAATGTAGACTTACATTGTTGTGTACTGTAATTAAGACAGTTCACAATTAATAGAGTGCTAGTGGAGCCATGCTGAAAGTGGTCACATGTTAGGGCCCTGCTGTGTTATTTAAGCTACATTTTAGAGATCAATTCACAATGTGAGCAGTTAGAAGCAACTTATTCTGTATCAACAGGTGGCGCCAAAGTGTTTTTTTTCTCCTGAACATTATGGAATATAACTTATCTGATTACACTGCATGCATGAGGTACACTAGACTCATACGACAGACTTAGGTATTTTAATATTACAGACTTAGGTATTTTAATATTATATGGTGGTTGATTCCTCAGTTTTTGTAGTTTATCCTCTCTGAGTACACACATACTGTACTGTAACACACTTTCAATCACAAATATATAAATACATAGTTACACATATGAAGAAATAGAGGTGAGAGGAAAACAAATATAAGTTTTTATTTATTTTTGCTTTTACTTTTATGCAAGATGAGTATCAAAAGTCTTTCTCCCACTGATACATTTAATATGAGAAATTACTTTTCGAAAAGAAGAGATTTGGAAACCCTATTACACTTAATATAATCTCAAAGGACATACTAATTACAGTCATCTTTGGTGTTTCACTCTATATCATATGTTGATTAGCTAATCCAGTTTTACAAATAGTATTCCAATTCGGATGACTTGCATCTTTTCATTTATACAAGGAGGAATGTGGGACAGTATGCCTGGTATGTAAAGGGGGTTCATTTCTCATTTATATAGGGTAGGATTCTCAAAAAACAAAAATGAAACTAATTCCAATATATAGTACAGTACAGTGTTTGGACCACAGAAAACACAGAGCCTGGAAATGCGGAGAAAAATAACAAATCTTATTAGTACCAATGTGTTTGATCATTTCTGTAAATAACCAGCTTTATAAGCAATGTTCCAGTGTTGCAGCTTGATCTTTGTATTTAATAGAACCAATGAGAACTGATGAAAGACACATGAAGTGTTTGTGGTACAATGCACCAGGTCTTTTGGAATGATCATGGCTCCCTTGGCAGTACACAGGCCTCTCAGTCTGCACCAGTGACTTCACGGGGCTCTCTCAGAAAGGGTGGAGGAAGCATTCATGTCCTTTTCACCTTGTAATGGGGTTGGCCTGTCCACAAAACAAAATATGTCCAAAGCACAGCTTAGTGTTTATTAATGAAATGTACTCTATTGGTAAAATACAAAAACAAAACCCGCTAGCAACGGCCATAGCTATTAGGAAGCATAGCCTTCAGTCTGTAGTAATCATCCTACACAGCTACTGAGAGCTTTTCCTTGCTGACCAACATTGCAAGTGTCTCCTTATAAATGTTTACAACAAAAACAAAAGATTAAAAACATTAATACAGAGAACATAAGAGTTAAATTGTTCATTATTATTTATTGTATCTGCAATTGTTTTGTAATTTGCCTTGTGCAAATGAGGTTCTTTTCATGAAACGACACCATCAACGAGCAAGATGGCTTTGGAGACCAATTCCTTGGCTTTAAAAGTGTGCTGTTTAAGAGAGTAGACCCACCTACATTTTTAATGGATGTTTGAAATACAAAGCAAATTACCTTGAGTCAGTTCCATCTCACAACTAGTGTATAGAGAATGTGAGACCTCTCTCATCTGAAATAAAATGTGGAGAGGACCTTTCACGTGTGAATCTGTCATTGTGAATTACTGCTAAGAAGCTATGTGATAATTGCCAGGAATTCTTTTTAGTTGCATATTTGGAGCGTAAATCAAATTTCATAAAGGAGCCCTCATTACTGGAACAAAGAAAGAAGTACCATCAACCTGTTTGGCTTCAAATTAAACCCACAGCAATCAGTGAGTGCCTAGCCTTGAACAAGTAATGGATCGTTCATTTTTTAGAATCATCTACCAGAAGAATTAACTGCATTTTTAAAGAGCCATTTGTCATTCAGTAATATAGGTCCTGAGCATGAGCCTAAGCATGAGAGAACACTATTATTGAGAAAGTCCACACTGTTTTAAATTACATTACAGGGATGACACCACCATCTTTCTTTTGCCTTTTGTTCACTTGTTACTTTAACTTGAACTAGTTTTCTTAGTTCTGAAGGTTTTGCTTGTGATACTTCAAACACCACTCTTGCAGGTGAAATTATGACAGTTGGGTTAGACGGCAAATTCTGCAGCAGATCAAGTTACCAAATGGAGGATACCGTAGGTCTTGACCCCAACTTGAAACATGTGAATAAAAAAACTTGTGAGCTGTGGTTTGTACCAACTTGCTTTTGTATCTGGTATGAACAATTAGAAGATCAAACCCATAAGGCATAATATTTGTTATATTCTCTTGTGGAAAACGTATTTGTTCAATCCCAATAATCGCAATAAGGAGGTGAGTGCAAATGCAGCTTACTTTAATTTGCTAGAAACATACAATATGTCCACACAACATAACTTTAACATTCTTTTAAAACTTTCCTATAGTCATTTTCCATAAAGTATAGCAAGTTGCCATAACAACACTGAGTTAGTTGTGTTAGGTTTTCTTGTAAATCGAGTAAAGGAGAGGATAAGACTTAAAGACCACTGTTGCCTTATAACGGGTAAGTTTTCTTTGAATTTTTCAATCCTCTTTCTAAAAAAAGATTTCTTAAAATTTTCTAATGAGAGATTTTAAGATATTTAACCTCATCGAGTTGACATTTTTCGGGGTCTTTCTGTTATTTCTGGTCAACACCAGTTGCAGGAATACTGGGCTTTGTAATTCTAGGCCTGACACAGTAATGACTGCCATCACTGTCTAAGGGTGGTAAAGTGCATTATTCGGCTAGTAATTGACATCTGCTGTAAATTTTCATAAGTCTAACATGTTTAAATGATCATGTGACGGATGCCTTATTTGCACTTGACTTTCAGCCCGCAGTTTGGAAGAACCAGTTGTTATTCAGTTTGCTTTTACTTTTTGACCATTGTACGAGCATTTCCTAGTGGAGGGTTGAATGCATACATTGTCTGTTTTTCGTAGAAATCTCATCCATTAGATCTTATCTTTGATTTTGCATTACTTAATGAAGCAGAGATCGAATAGAATAAAGGCTGCAATGGCTGAAAAGCTGATTGACAGTTACAGGATGGCCTTCTTTTGTGTGGAATACAGATGACAATATTTCGATTTCTTTTAGTCAGAAAGTTAGAAGCTAAGGAAGAAAAAAAATTAACAATAGCTTATCCGATACATGCACAGATTAGTGCCAATCATGGAAGTTTACACTCCTGAACACTTAAAAGCTGGACTGTCAATACTTTGTGCTATACAAATTCTGTTAGATGTTGCTTATCAGTATGACCTGGCTCCTTAATGAAGTCTCAGTTTAGATATGTGGATCAGAGGTCCTGGGTTCGATTTCTTCTTAGTGATGGCAGAATGCTCAGCAATAGTTTGGTGCATTTATTTAGTGTGTGCAGCTAAACGGGGACCCATACTTGGAAGAGGGCGCCTTCTGAGTTGATTTCTTAAGTGTTGAACACGTACTGTACCTGACCCAAAAAAATAAATGCTCTCAAGAAAAACTAGATTCTCAAGGAATTTTCCTCTGTCTTGCAATGCATTCTCCATCTTCATGATTTTTATCTAATATTACAATACCTCTTTGATAACACGTTTGTATCCTGGATAAATATGGTAAATGACAAGCATCTGAGGAGAAACAGAGTAAAACATGCTAACAGTATCAAACTTCTCAAACTGGTCTGAATTTCTGCTAGGACTGCCTTACAATAGTTCTTTTTTATGTATCAGGATTTGAACATGAGAGTAAAGAAAGCTATTGATATACTATTGAAATTGCAAAATGTAAGCCACAAGACAAACTGAGTTTCTTTTACTGTATGTAAATTGTAACGTAAACTATGTTGCAATGTAATTTAAATGAAAATTGTTTTCTTAAGTGAAGGCAAACACAAACTCCAGTAATAAAAAACTGATCTGCCTATGGCCCGATTTTCACATTTTTAAAAGATTGCAATAATTTTGTCATCAAATATTTGGGCCATTTATTCCCGAAATATTAAACAGCAAAATGAAGTAATCACACTAATCAAGTGACCATCTGTTGGTTGTATGAGAATATTATATGATTATATACAGTATTATACAAATGGGATGTTTTAATAAATGAACTCATCTTGAAATAGTATTTGATACTTTGATACTTAAATCCTTCTTTTTTTCTGGCGATGGCTATTGCTAGGTACAGTTAAAAGGGAAAGGCCATCCCCTTTGATGCAAACAAGCAAAATTATGCACTTAAAGAATATATCATCTTTATTAATTATGGTCCTCTTTATTAAATGTTGTCTACTTTGCTTCATCTGCCTGTGATCTCTGGCCTGTACAGGTGAGGTTCACAGCTCAGTGTGACACCATCTGGTTGAAGGTCAGCACCTCCAAATCTGAGGTCGGTGATCTCTCTTGGAAAAGAGTGGCTTGGCCTGTCCAGGTGAGGGGGGCACAGCTGCCCCATGTGGTGGACTTGAAGTACCCCTGGGGTTGTGCTCATGATTGGGGGTAGAGGATTTCACGAGACTGACCAGTGGATTGGTGCAGCGGCTGTTGTGATGCGGACAGTGTACTGAAACATGGTGGTGAAGCAGTAGCAGAGCTCTCAGACGGAGCTCTCAGTTGTCCTGTCGATCTATGTCCCTTCATCTATGGTCACGAGCTTTCAGAAGTGACTGAAAGAATGAGATGATGGGTACAAGCAGCGGAAATGAGGTTTCTCTCAGAGGCTTACCCTCTGTGACAGGGTGAGGAGTGAACAACACCTTATTTTTCATTCATGTTCATTCATAGCTAGTGAGTACAAACACATACTTTAGATATGCTAAAAGCCCTTGAGTTATCAAGGAAGTCTGAGTCACTGTCAGTATTCCATACATAAAATAGTCTTCCAGATGAAAGATATGACAAAACAGGTATGCTGGAGGTGTGCCTCCTGTCTTCTGAAATGCCACAAAGAAGGAGAATTCAAAGCCAGAAATATGTATTGCAAAGCATATACTGATGTCATTTTAAATGACAAGGCCTGTGAGTAATTTGAGGTCAGGCTATAAACAATATGATTTGAAACACAGAACAAAGAGCCATCATATTGGCAGGATGTAGACCTTAAAATGTTTTTGTGAGTTTGGTGTTCAAGGAAATCAATTGGTACACCAACAGTTAGCCAAATTATTGGTCACCTCCTAATATCATATAAAATATGATTTCATTATTACAATTTAGTGCACAATAAAAAACAAAAATGAACCTGCCATCTATGAGATTCAACTACTTATATCTACTATATGTGGAACACAATTACAGCTGGAACTTACCCCAGATGAAGCAGTTTAGTGCTTCTCCAAATAGATACAGACCTTCCACAACGCTCATGTTGAAAAGGAAGAAGAAGGCAAGGCCAGCTGGGGTGAACTTGCCAAGGACTGGGTACACCCAAACCCCAACAGTGAGGTATATCCAAATGACCCTGTGAAGGAAGTTAGGAGGGTAGCTGTCTTACCATGACAATGGCTGGAAAGAGCAGAAACAGGTTCACAACTTCTTGTTATTGATTGTCATTACAATTATTCTTTGGAGAATTATGTAAACCTAAACAGCAGTATTACTGTTCTTGATTATTCCATCCATTCTTTTCCTTACTGTTTCTTCCAATTCAGGGTTGTGGGGAAGACAGAGCCTATTCTGACGAGCAACAGGCACAAAGTGGGGTACACCCCAGATGGGGTGCTAGTCCGTCACAGTGCAGACACACAGACATACTTCTAAATAGACACATACTCACACCAGGGCCATTTTTACAAGACGTTAATCAACCTACCAGTAAGTTTTTTTGGACTGTGGGAGGAAACTGTAGCATCTGGAGGAAACCCATACAAACACAAGGAGAACATCCATAGCCACAGTGCCACCATTCTTGATTATTGAACTGTATTTTATTAATATGTGCATGAAATGTATTTACATTTACTCAAAGAGTCTTAAAACTTCAAAAAGAGTGCTAACACTACAAAAACAGAGCTCAAAATACATAAACGCATTCACATAGGAAATACAGCATTCACACAGAAAATACAGCAGTTTAAGTTTTCCATTACACCTCATTGGGTATAAATATAGTTATTTACATTTTACCTTCATCTGGTAGCTATTTATGTTTGTTTGTATGTTAGAGAAGCTGACAAAAGAATGAAACAAAACACCTTAACTGTCAGCCAGCTGACTAGCCCACATAAACTCGGTAACTGGCTCTGTGAGTGACAGACCACATCCTGGAGGACAGAGGTCTACTCACTGGCTCTTGATCACTCAAGGTCATGACATCTGTCTGACCATCTGCCGAATGCAATGGTTGTACCACTAGTGTTTCCGAGAAGAAACAAAGCTCACATCAGCAGAGTTTTGGTTTCTTCTTAACAGAAGAGGTGATTTATTTGAAAATGGGGTGTTCAGCAACGTATTTATCCCACTGAAAAGGGATACAGTGTTCATAACATTTATATCTCCTCATTCCTTACCAGGTCAGGTAGCCCACCCCAATAATTCCAAGAGTAGCTAGTCCATTCTGTTTCTTCGGATAAGCATGACGATGGAGAACAATTTCAACTGCTAGCAGAGGCAGAACAGCTGTGTGCTAAAAAACACATAGAGAAAACCATGGGTCCCAATGACTTTACAGGAGACAAATTTTCATTAAGCAGCACTTAAAGAAAAGACTCTGTTTCGGGACAGCCTTACTGTTCTCTTGTATTTGTCCTAGATTAAGTTCTCAATTCACTAATACTTGGCTCACTCAGATGTATTTCTGAATCTCCTTTATATCTGATGGCTGTTAAAGTATGTATTTGATTTTGTGCAGTGCGCTCCAGTTCCAGTCCTAGAGGTCAATATGCATTTAGGTTTTCTAGGTCTCTTTAAAGCAGCAGCACCTGAAGAGCCTGAAGACCCAATTGAGCCAATGAAGAGCCAATTTAGGTCATTAAGGGTTGAAGTGGAATAGAACTCTGTAGACATGCCAAAACTATTAAATCAGGGTAGGACTATTACTGTATGTAGAGAATAAAATGCAAATAAACAATTTTAAGATATTTTCCCTGAACAACAAATAAATATCATGTGATGGGACCACAATGGCATGGAGAACACAAGAAAACAAGATGTCAGCATAGTGGTGTCATCATCAAATTTGCTTCCATAAAAACAAAACATATTATGTCATGTCATTTGCCAAACCACTTTTTACAGTACCATATGGTGTCGCAGGAAGCTGGAGCCTACTCGGCAAGCAATGAGCGCAAGGCAGGGTACACCCTGGACAGTGCTCCAGTTAATCGCAGGGCAAGTGCAAGCCAATCATACACATGGACAATTTGGAAGCCACCGTAAAGGTGTATCGCAGCTAGTTTGGATACAGTGACATCATCGCCCTCCCTGCGCATAGCAGGGACCTCAGCCGCCTGGGCTGGGGGAGGTCTCCTTTAGCTCATGCGGCTGGTTCCCTGTTGCATTACACTGGAGACCCGAGTTTGTGCCCCAGGTGTTGCTGGACGAAATGGGCGAGGTGGAGCAGCGGAGGGCACAAGCCCGTGCAGAACCGCAACGGTCACAAAGGCTGAGAGGGGAAATTTGGCCCGGACACTGGGATTACTCCCTTCTCTTATCATGAAACGCCCGGGGATCTTTAATGACCACTGAGAGTCAGGACCTCGGTTTAACGTCTCATCCAAAAGACAGCGTTCCCTACAGTATCGTGTTCCTGCCACTATACTGGGGCATTAGGACCCCCACAGACCGCAGGGTGGGTGCCCCCCTCTGGTCTCACAAAACATATTATACAATCCCCCAAAAAATCTCCCAGCAAAAAACATGTTGCACAGCAATTGGTTAGAATAAACTTTCATTTAAAGTGTTTTACGAAACTATACAGTACCTTGTTCAAGGGTATAACATCAGTGTCCCACACGTGATTGAAACTTGTAACCTTCCAGGTAACCATTTACAACCCTAACCAGTACTCCACACCACTTCCCTGGATCGGCAGTTCATGGAATATCCTCTCCCAGCTAGAGTTTGTAACGAACGTTCAGGAGGGATTACAACAACCATGTTCAATCAGACTTGACTGGCAGTAATTAGCAATCGCTCCTGATGTGATTTCCTCTCCTAAAACACTATAAATACTTACACGATCCCCTTCACTTCCTTGCATACATCTTTTGCAACCCACCTTTGCAGCTGCCCCTTAGTCACTCCTCAATCTACATGGTAGTTCAAGCCTCCTCATCCTACTGTCAGGAGTTTAGCCCTCAACCAAGTGGGTTAAGCCAAATTTTCACTAAACGCTCCATAATCCTTTCAGGACACTTTATTCTTGGTTGTTGTTATTCCTAGTGAAATGCACATTTTGAAGAATATGACACAAAGAATGCAAAGCACTGTTGCAGAAGGGCATAGAGGAAATCTAAATGCTAAATCTAAAATCATAGTAGATGTAACAGGATCATGGCATCGAGATTTTCTGATGTTAAAACAGGACCCTCCTGTGGTGTGACTGACAGAGACCACAGATTTTTCGCAGCCCAGCTACAGTCTGATTACAAAAGATCTGACATGAAAAATCACAAACCTCATGAGCGGAAGGAGGCCGATGCTAAATTCTAGGAAGCTGCAAATATTACTGAAACAAATTGCGAAATGTGGGTGTCAGACAGATGCTTACTGCAGTCCAAATCAAATGCAATCTTTTATTTCTGCTGTAAATACAGATGGTTTTATTCTATGTTTGTGTCCATTTTTGTTACTGTTAGCAGAAATATGTATTAGAATCCTTGTATTTTGCTACAGGATTTGAAAACAGAATGAGGTAGGATTATGTAATGTTTTAATTGCAGTTTTCCACATCCAAAAACAAAGAAATGATGGAAACCTAAGATTAATCATAGTGAATATGATATATTTATCTATCAATTTTCTAACCACTTTATCCAATACAGGGTCATGAGGGAGCAGGAACGTATCCCAGCAAGCAATGGGTCCAAAGCACAAATACATACACTCACACCAAGGCCAATTTTCCCAGAAGCCAATTAACCTAACAGTCTGGCTTAGGACTGAGAGTGGAAACTGGAGCACCCGTAAGAAACCCAGGCAAACACAGCGAGAACATACAAACTCCATAGATAGCATCCTGGGAATTTAACAAAGGACCACAGTACTGCGAGGCAGCAGTGCTTACATCTGTGCCACAACACTGCCCCTGAACGTCTTTTAATTCCTACAGTAATTTCATAACAGTTCCTGAAACTTTCTCCATAGGGATTATTGTATGTGGTAAATTGTGGCTAAAAATTGACACCAATTTTCAAATGCTCAGTTGTTAATGAGCTATCTAGAGAAAATGACATTTCAATACAGTTGATATCTGTTCAAACACACAGGACAGTACTGCAGTAAGAGTGCAAAGTGATAAGAGAAGCAGCAGTCAGGGAATGAAACATGTTTTTTTTTTAAAGAGAGCATGCCCCATTGCAGACTAGAAACCCTCTAATTTAACCTTTTGGTAAAGAGCTATTTCCTTAACCTCTAATTTAACCTTTTGATCACTTCAAAGTTTTCTAAGTCTGTTAGCTGTACTGTACATAACCTTGAAATCTGTAAAAACTCTAGAGTACAAACATAGCTATACTTGACTTTATTTACTAGTTGTACAGCTAGATCTTGTATATCATAGATATTATCTTACTGATATGCAATATGATTTTTGTTATTTTGCCTTCCAGAAGGTATTGAACCTTATTGTTCAGTGTAATCCGTTTTTT